AATACCGAGAATACGCAGGCATGTAGGCATGTCGCCCTCTCCTCCCGTATATCAAGCGTGAGGTCAAGATCTTGCGTCTGTATGAATTGAGATGCAGTCGAGGCCCATAAACAAAAAATAGATTGAGGCCAATATTCAGCCATCTTGACCAAGCAAATTTGGTCAATAAAGGATTTATAATATCACATGAAGAATATCATTTTCTTTCGAGATAAGCGGGTATAGTCCCGAGCGGACAAGATAGCGCCATCTTGTCCGCTCAAGTAGCTAATCACAGCATTTTGGTTCATCTTGCGCGCTCACGGTAAGGAGGGTTATTGCTCTTTAGTTCTCTTGCCGACAGGCCGCCATCTTAAAAGCCGCATTTTCAAGATCGTTGCTAGACTTAGAACGGAAAAACTATGAAGACTGAGCGTGTTCATAGCCAAGAATGGAAACGATACGATTATTTGCCTAATTCACTGTTCCTTTTCAAAACCAATATTTGCAAATAGGCGTTTTAAACTTTGATTGATTGAGTGTACCTCTTCTTTTCATCTCCACCTCACTATTTTATCACGCATGCGTGTTCAGTCTTTTTAGTTTACAAGAGCCGCAATTAATGACACCAAGTCTTAGAGTTGAATAATAAAAATTAGCATAGCAGCTTTTTAAAACGTCTAAGGAACCGTCTTTCTAACACAGCAGAAAAATGCTTTACTATTCGGCAAACTGATCTTCGACGAAAGAAACATTACGATTACCGTCTTGATTTTATTCAACGCCATTAGTTCGGTCCCACTTGGCCCTGTCCGCGCTAGATATGCTTTTGTTGACCAAGTTAAATAACTGATCCGCCTGCCTTACTTCCATATATCAGCTTTGGGAGCATTCTCGTCAATTGCTGTTTTCTTTCGAAAGACTAGATCTCGCTAGAGCGCGAAACAAAAGTCGAAACCAACAGACTGTTTCGGGAACTTCCGCGGGTTAACGCAAACGGCAAATAAACACAATTGACGAGATTTACAACAATTTGGGGAATCCCCTTTCTTGAGTTGCTTGTAACTCTG